AGGCAAGAACTGCGTCGTCGTCGAACTTTCTAAGACCTCCTCTTTGTCCGTCCAACGAAATTGATGTGCTAGTAGAAGGTGTTGCTGTACGTGCACTTGTCGACACAGGCGCCGTCGTTTCTGTAATTAGTGAAAAACTGTGTCGCGATTTGAGAAAAGTTACAACGCCGCTTACGAATCTTGCTCAGCGTACAGCCACCTCCCATTTCATCGCGCCGACAGCTCAGTGCACAGCACGCGTTCTTATTCAGGATGTTTGGTACGCCGTCAACTTTGTTGTTCCCCCAACTTCATCTTACGACGTGATACTAGGATGGGATTTCCTTTCTACTCATCAGGCCCTCGTCGACTGCGCTCGTGCTGAACTCACGTTGACGAATCCGTGCCTTGATATCGACCACCACAGTCCCTCGAAAGTGTTTGCCGCAGCTGACGTCCGCATCGCGCCGTTGTCCGCCGTCCTAGTGCCTGTGTTTTCCCCTGCTGCCACTAACTCGACGCTCCTGTTCCAACCAACTATAGCTAGTGTGCAACACCGAACCATCGTCCTCCCGTTTGCCGTCATCAACTTTTCCAATGGTTCGGCGGTACTTTATGCGTGCAACGTTTCTGCTTGCCCGTACATCCTGCTACGCGGTGTGTGTCTGGGAAGCCTCGATACCTTAAATTGTATTTTCGAAGACCCAATCTATCCAGACAAGCCATTTCTACCGACTTGTGCCATTACACCCGCAACTGACGCTAATGAACCTATGGATGTATTCCGCAAGTCCATCGATTGTAACCTCACGCCTGGGCAGCAGAAACAGCTGATCAAGCTCCTAAAGCGTTTTCGAGCCTCGTTTGACCACAATCAGCTTTCCTTAGGTCGAGTGTCATCTGTTGTACACCGTATAGATACCGGTCAAGAGACGCCATTACGGCAGCGTCCATATCGTGTGTCAACTACCGAACGCCGTGCCATCAATGAACAGGTTGACGACATGCTGACACGTGGCATAATCGAACCGTCAAGCAGTCCCTGGGCCTCTCCAGTTGTGTTGGTGAAGAAGAAGGACGGATCCATCAGGTTTTGCGTGGACTACCGGCGTCTCAACCGAATCACGCGCAAGGATGTCTATCCGCTGCCACGCATTGACGATGCCTTGGACTGCCTACAGGGAGCCGAATTTTTCTCTTCTTTAGATCTCCGCCCTGGATACTGGCAGGTACCCATGGCAGAGGCCGATCGTGAAAAAACTGCTTTCATCACGCCCGACGGGCTTTACGAATTCACAGTGATGCCCTTCGGCCTCTGCAACGCGCCAGCTACTTTCGAGCGGATGATGGACTCTATCCTTCGAGGCCTCAAATGGAACGTTTGCCTTTGTTATTTAGATGATATTGTCGTCTTTTCAACTGATTTTGCAACCCATTTAACCCGCCTCGAGAAAGTCCTCGCGTGTATTTCTGCCGCGGGGCTGCAACTGAATCTGAAGAAGTGCAATTTCGCCGCTCGAAAGCTTACGATCCTTGGCCACGTGGTTTCAAAAGACGGCATTCTTCCTGACCCTGCCAAACTTACAGCCGTTTCAGCGTTTCCCAAACCGACCACCATGAAAAAGCTCCGAAGCTTCATAGGCCTTTGCTCTTACTTCCGGCGCTTCGTCCGCAATTTCGCGACGATCATCGCTCCTTTGACCAAGCTCCTCGCCGGCTCCAGAGACCTTTCAGCCTGGTCTGCCACCTGTGACGACTCTTTCAATGAACTGCGTAGCCTCCTCACGTCGCCGCCTATTCTGCGACACTACGACCCATCGGCACCCACAGAGATCCACACCGACGCTAGTGGTGTCGGGCTAGGCGCTATTCTTGCACAGAAGAAAGACGGCTTCCAAGAGTACGTGGTTGCCTACGCAAGCCGAACTCTTAGCAAAGCCGAAAGCAACTATTCTGTCACTGAAAAGGAATGCCTCGCCATTATTTGGGCGATAGAAAAATTTCGACCTTACGTGTACGGGCGCCCTTTTGACGTCGTGACTGACCACCACGCCCTCTGCTGGTTGTCGTCATTGAAGGATCCAAGCGGTCGCCTCGCCCGATGGGCATTACGCCTCCAAGAATATAATATTCGCGTGGTCTATCACTCCGGCCGGAAACATTCGGACGCAGACGCCCTATCCCGTTCGCCTCTACCCCCGGACCCGGACTGCTGCGAAAGTATAACCTGTGATGCCACTGCCGTCACCATCGCCGACATGCCATCTGAGCAACGCAAGGACCCTTGGGTTGCTTCGATTCTAGACATCCTGGCTGGGCGGACGGCTTCCCCCCCTTCTCGCACGTTGCGTCGGCAAGTGGAGCACTTCGCCACTCGCGACGACGTGCTGTATCGACGCAACTACGCACCCGGTGGACGTCAGTGGCTACCCGTGATTCCACGTCATCTGCGATCCGAAATTTGTTCCACGTTTCATGACGACCCCCAATGTGGCCACGCAGGTTTCCTGAAGACTTATTCTCGCATACATCTCCGATATTACTGGCGTGGCATGTACCGTTTTATACGACAATACGTTCGGGCCTGCTCGACGTGCCAGGGACGAAAAACTCCACCCATGTCATGCCAGCGGTACCTTGCTACCCTTACCATGCCCATCCCGACCATTCGACCGCGTCGGCATCGATATCTTTGGTCCCCTTCCCAACACTGCTGACGGTAACCGCTGGATCATAGTTGCCGTCGACCATCTCACGCGGTATGCCGAAACTTCATCCCTTTCCTCGTCTACAGCAAAAGACGTTGCGACTTTCGTTCTTCACAACATCGTATTACGTCATGGAGCACCTCGGGAGTTACTGAGCGATCGTGGTCGCGTATTCTTGTCAGACGTCATCACAGCATTGCTGCGTGAGTGCCACGTCGTTCACCGCACTACAAGCGCCTATCATCCCCAGACCAATGGAATGACAGAGCGCTTCAACCGCACCCTTGGTGACATGCTGTCTATGTATATCTCGTCAGGCCACTCCAATTGGGACCGAGTGCTCCCGTTTATCACATTCGCTTATAATACCGCCATTCAAAGCACTACTGGGTTCTCTCCTTTTTTCCTCCTTTACGGACGCGAACCTTCTTGCACTATGGACACCATTCTTTCGTACAAACCTGACTCCTCAGAGTCCACGACTTTGTCTCAAGCCGCTACATACGCTGAGGAATGCCGCCAACTGGCAAGAGCATTCACAACCCAAGACCAAGGACGCCAAAAGCACCACCATGACGCATCAAATAACACCACTTCCTACGATCCAGGTTCACTCGTCTGGCTGCATGTTCCCTCTGCTACACCTGGCCTTTCTACCAAGTTGGTCCCCAAGTATCACGGCCCATATCGTGTGCTACAAAAAACGTCACCGGTGAATTACCTCATCGAGCCACTGGAACCATCTTCTGACCAACGTCGTCGTGGCCAGGAAATTGTCCACGTCTCGAGACTTAAGCCCTGCTACGACCCTCCCGTGTTTACTTGTCCATAGGTCGCCAGGATGGCTCCTTATTTCGCGGGGAGTAATTGTAATGAATTAATGAATCTGAGTAACGGACGCTCTGCGGGCAACGAAGAAGACGATGATGATCGGTGGCTGCAGGAGTAGCTCGCGCACGCCGCTCGCCATTAGCCAGACCTGCCTGATAAAGGACATTTTGCCAAGCTACGTCTGAACCTTTCTCGACGTACAACACCTCTATTTTAATATATATATATATATATATATATATATATATATATATATATATATATATATATATATATATATATATATATATATATATATATATATATATATATATATATATATATGGCATCTTGTCGCAAGCGAAAACACCTGTCCGGCATTGCAGTCAAAGTTCCGACAAGATCTATATTTACGCACGCCATGACTCCACGTTTTTCAGTTTTTTTTTTTTCAAAATCAGCACAACTCGGCAGCAGCGCGGCAGCACGCCTACCATTCGGGAGCATGCTCGGGAGTTAGGCTACGAAACTAAAATCGCACTTTGTTTCGAACAGTTGCGAAATTCTCTGGATTTCAGCAGCTTCTTTCCTACTTTAAATATTACGGAATTAGAACGAAGTGATTCATTTCACTTTATTTGATGTACATTATTTATGTATGAACAGTTCATTGCTTCAATGATCAATGTTTGAGCGTATGAGATATGGAAATAATGCAACGTCTGTCCTGTCAGAGTGAGTGTGTTTGTGTCGGGAGAGTAGCCCTCGGTTCTACTCCATATTTTGTCGTCGCACGGGATTATAGTGGTAGGGCTGCACGCAACGCTTTCAAGCAGGCATGCTCCCCACAAAACAACGACAATATTAACATCCCGGAGTGAATTGGGCCGTGACGGACGTAAAATATTGACAGCTTTTTAACATTAACTGAATGTACTGAATGCAGTTAGTAGTTCTGTATGAATGTAGTTTGAGTCCACAATAATTACCCTTTATAATTGCCCTTTGTTATAATTGCCCTTTGTTTCATTACTGACCCCCTAATATTACTATTTTGCCAGTAATCCGGTACTCTCTCATGGGTATACTTCACAAAACACCCTTTGATAAACTCTTTCGCTAAAGTACAACAATGTCACGTGTTATACGCTTTATTTGCAGTTAGGGCGCCAAGGGGACCGCTTGCTTCCAATTTGACTGGTCATGGTTTTCAACTGATCAGGCTTTGAGGCTCCAGTTAAATTCGAGAAATAGCGTCCACAACTAAAAATCCAAACCTTTTTGGGCCTCGCGCATGCACGGTGGCCTCGACACTATTTGTTTGAACACCCAAAACGATTGTGACCCATATTCGAAAAAAATATTGTTTCAGCGGCGCAATAAGAGAATTTGGAAGAAAGAGCGTCGATTTCGTAACCGAAACTTGGAGCGGTTTCGCTTTCACTGGCTGTGGCATGGTCTCCGACTTTGTTTCCAGCTTTGGCAACGGCTTCAGAATGAAAGCGGCCATTTTGTTTACAACACCGCTTCTGTTGCTGGGTTGATGATCGGCAGCGGAGCGCCGCGTTTTTATTGTTTAGTCTCACGCGGCAGCGTGATAAATTACGTCGTCAGTTAAGTCTGCCTGATTCGCAGTCACGTAAAGAACGAATCAGTCGACGCGAAGTGGTTTACATCGCGTGACCGGTTCACAACACCGCCTGATTCGTCCGGCATCGTGTATTGGACGTCGTCGTCGTCAAAAAAATGCAACGTCCCATCGACGAATACCGCCAGCCCTGGGAGAGCAGTGAGCACTGGGAATTGCGGCGCGAGTTCATCGTCGCCAACCAGGGTCGGTTCAGCGAGAATCGGGTTCTGTGCCTGGCGCAGGCGTTCGCCAACGTGGAGCTTCTCGGGTGCACCTACCCAGCGGCCGTGATGGCTCAGGTGAACGAGTTGGCCAAGAACGTCAGCTCCCTGTCGGTGGTTCAGGAGAAGCGGCGCGAAAACAGCCGCGTCCTCTTCGTCAAGGGCGAAGACGACGCCGCCAAGAGGAGGAAGACTTCGTCGCTGGGCACCTACACCCGCGCGCCACGTTACGACGACCAGTCCAGGATGCGAGCCGCGTCTTTCTTCCAACGCTAACGCAGACTTCACTCCGTGCATCTTCTGAGAAGGCAACGAGCCTTGTAGTACCGAGATGGCGACTCCATTCCAGGGTTGTGGTTTGCTGCTCAGCTGCACGCGTGACGTTCGTGAGAATTGCCGGCTAGAAAAAAAATTGTTGCGTTGTTTTGCGCTACTTACAGTGGTGCCGAAGCTCACCGATTGTTATCGGGAGATTTGAAAGTCTTGTCTCGATGGTGGGACCATAGATTTTGGCCATAATGCAGCGTAGCATGCGCACCTTGTTGATGCGAGCGTGCCCATTGTTTCAAGTTTTTTTTTTTTTGTACTTGAAGCATTGTTCATAGTTCATAGAGCAAATCTTTTATCAGCGTGCTTTTGCACCCAGCTACGTCAGCGCGGTAACTCTACCGCGGCATTTTGCTCTTTAAAAATTTGTATATCTAGCTGAAGGACGCATTACAGTTATTTTGAAAATTTAAGTACCAAATTTTCACCATAACTGCCACAAGCTTCAAAGTGCAACTTTAGACGTGTTACAAGGTCAGTTTGGCTGCACTGGCTGAACTAAATTAGAAATACAAAAAGAAATTGCTAGCTAGATAGATATGTGGGGTTTAACGTCCCAAAACCACCATTTGATTGTAAGAGACGTCGTAGTGGAGGGCTCCAGAAATTCAGACCACCTGGTGTTCTTTAACGGGAAATTGCTAGCTTGTGAAATTGATTGCACAGCTGACACTTAAGATGCTGCAAAATAAAAAAAATGTAACAACACAGTTTTAAGAAATTACAATTTCACTACTACTAATTCCATATCATTCTGTCTACTGCTGTGCTTTCTTTGTTTCGCGAGGTAAACTGCTTGGTGTTTTTTGCTGCATTCTGAAACCTTCGGGATGCTGAGAAAAGGACACCAGCTAAGGTTCTGTTCTGCCCTTAATTAAACAAATGCCAGTGATTATGCTAACATTACACCATCTGAATTTTTTCGACAAACTTGAGAATCCTGACTTCTTTTGCAGATGCAGTGAAGTGCTACCCATTACCCCTGCTAATGTGCTATTCCCTCAATGCTGTGTCATGATGCTTCAACCAATTGAAGCGGATGTGTTCCTGGAGTGCTTAGCTTCAAATTGGTGTTAGATGTATGCCAGTCTATGATAGGCAAACTTTTTGCCCCAACACAGCAATCACCAAACTTTATATTGCTTTAATTGAGAGAATGTGTTTGGATTGGGATTCAGTGATCATTATCCTTGAACATTTCTATTTCTTTAAAAAGTATATCTACACTGTACACCCTTGAGCTATGCTCATTTTTCAGTATGTTCTTTTCCACAATTGTGCTCTCTATTGCCATAATCAATGCAAACATCGCCATTAAAATTTTTTCTAACAGAATAATGCTTTGCTATTATGAAGTTCATCGCCGTTGAATTTGCAACGTCCGTGCATGCAGAGAATGTGTCTTGGAATTACTGGAAGCCCGATTCACGACTTCTTGCTGATCTCATCCACTCACTTTCTTAGCTGCTCTTATAATCTACTGACCGCAGCTAGCCGAGGTTATTGATAATGCATGTGGAGTGTCACTCTGATCGCTGATAATACCTGAAAAGTAATGTAATTGTTGGTGTTTAACTTCTCAAAACCACCATATGCTTGTAAGAGATAACATCATGGAGGGGGTTCCGGAAACTTCAACCACCTGGGGTTCTTTAACGTGCAGGTAAATCTATACATACGGGCCTGGAGCATTATGCCCTTCATTGAAAATACAACTGCCACGGCTGAGATGCAATCCCGCGACCTGCGGGTCAGCAGCCAAGTGCCTTAGCCACTAGGCCATCATCGCGGGTAAATACCTAAAAAGCGACATCTACAAAAAAAATAACTGTAGAGAAGTGAATTAGTAGGACTGATTTCTGAAATTCATGTATAACTACCAGTCTTTATTTCTCACACACAACTGTCATCTGCCACAAAGCAGCATTTCCACTAATGACAATTTTTTTTTTTTTGCTGGTTCTCTTTTCTTTCCAAAGCCTAGTGATTCACTGCAGTGGGAAATGTTGCAATCTGATCTGTTTTCGTGTACCCAGGGCATGATAATGAACTGAAAACTGGCAGTTATTTACAGCAACATTAATTGCGGTAGTCTTTTGCTCACTTTATTGGATAGTTGTCGACTCAATAATTACCATATTTACATAATTGTAGGTCAACTCGAATGTAGGTCGACCCTCCTAAAATCGCACGGCAAAGAAAAAATGTAAGAAGAAGGTGCACAAGCACATTTCAAATATTTACAATCGCTCTAAAAAAATTCCGGCGTGCCAAGATGGCTTTACGCCATTGCTTGAAAGCTGTGCAAAAAAGTTATGTGGGGGAAGTGTTTTCAGGGAGACTGCCAAAACTAGTTTTCAAATATAGGTAGACACCACCGACTTAGAATTTCAAATTAGGACGAAATGGGTCAACATACAATCATGTGAATAAATACACAACGAAGCCTCATGTCATGAGAGCAGAATTCAGAAAGTGCTTTGACTCCAAATTTACTTTTTATGATGGCAGCATTGTCTTGCCACATAAAAAGCACCACCACCATATTTTTCACTTACATGTTTCCTCAAATTAGTGCATTAGCATTCAATGTGGACAAGAACCCAGTGGTCGCTGGACGGTAATGCAACTATGTAATATTCATTGGCAAAATGATAGCATGTAGAGCAATTTAGTTGTACAGCTCTGTGAATCAAATAAGTTCCATTCAGTGTTAATGGAGCAGAAAGATGACCTGCAAACTTGGTGTTTCCTTGCACTGTTCCCATCATTAAGTGTTTCCGTAAATCAATGTTTGGCTAAACACTGATTTTGCTACAATTGCTGTGTGCAAGGAGACTTGCTGTTCAGGCTCGATAAGCGAGGCTGCAGGTATAGAGTGATGATTAGCCAACCGTAGCGACAATGTTCGACTGTAACTTAAGAGTTGTATGCTGCAGTTTTGGCTACAAGAGTCCAGCTACGTAGTTTTCACTGTACATTTGCAGTGCTCCTGCATAGAAAAGGCACTTCGTGGCAAATAATCATGCTTTGTCTACTGTATAAACTACACTGAATTGTCGCTGCTACATTCCCATTGGTACAATTGTCGTCAGGTCTGGCAACATTCATTACCTCCTTATTCCTTGGTTCGGGTATGGGCCATGTTTGAGGGTTATAATCATTCTTGGGAATGTGCTACCGACACTGTTCGTACGCATTGTCGAATTCCACACTAGCAGACCTCATCCATTAGAATATCAACCAATTATGGCCTCCAGAGTATGTGCACAAGCAGCACTGCTCTTGATTTCTGTGTAAAATGCAAGGCCTTGCCTTGCTGTAATTGCCCAGTACTACTGTTGCATGATAGCTCTGTGATTAACGCTCTAAATGTTTAAGTGCACATTGTCACTGATGCAGGTTTAAATACCATTAGAGGAAGTGGCACCTAAGCTTCCTTTTTTACACTGTGGTATTTACAAAGCTGCAGATGACGAGGTGGCTCAGAAGTTACATAATAGTTGCTGTGCATGGTCAATGGTGACAATGGTTGTTGTCGTGTAACAAGTGATTGGTTAGGCATAGTAATTTCAAAAAAATGAATTGTTTTTTCAGTAAAATTGTTGCATTTTAATATGTGACCATTTTAAATCTCGCATGGAGTGCATGCTCTGGCTTGAAAGCAAACTCTACTAGATCCCGAACGTGAATTCTTGGTATGATGCACCGCATCTCTGATAATCATATGGTGGTTTTGGCACGTTAAACCCCACATGTCAATCAATCAATTGGTATGATGCACACACTCACTGTGCCATCACTGGACAAGCCAGTCTGGCAGCTTTCGAAACATAGTCATTAATAACCTTCAACCACCACGTGGATACACAGTGGCTCTAACCAGATGAACCAGTGGGCTCTCAGATTGTCTGCGATACATGTTGCCACTGCACTGAATTTCACTTTTGTGACATAGCTTCTGTTTTTTTTTTGTTATTGCGAAAATTATATGGACATGCAGCTGGTTTTTGCCGTGGCCACAATGTTTCGCATGGAGTACAAATTCATGACATCGTGTGATGCAATGCATATTTTAAGCGCAAGTAAAAACGCACAAGCGCTGGGGATAGGATGAAATGAGCTCCATTGTACAAAGGTTGCATGTGAAAGCGTTGCCCCACGTGCAAGGCCTGCAGTCTACAGCTCATCAAGCAGAAGAAAGGCCCTCGGCCTTCTTTTATCGGTCAAAAGGGCATCAGCGAAGGGGGGGGGGGGGTGCGTTGCTTGAGCAGCCGAAAACATTGTTCATAAAAGTATGTTCGTGCACGCTATTTGGTTTGTAAACTTACAGTGCTCTCAAAGCTTCTCGCTTAGAGGACCAACAGCACAAGACTGCCCCTGTCCCTGAAATGGCCACAATAACTTAAACCAGCATTTAGTTGAGTTATGCGAGATAGATCCAAAAGAGTTAGCTGCAAGGCTTACTTTGTATAATATTATAATTTATAGTCATTGCATTCATTGCTTCTTCTTTCCAGCAGACTATGATTGTTTTTCATTCTCTACTTTCTAAGGCATATTTAAACTAATGCATTAGCATTCAATGTGGACAAGAACCCAGTGGTCGCTGGACGGTAATGCAACTATGTAATATTCATTGGCAAAATGATAGCATGTAGAGCAATTTAGTTGTACAGCTCTGTGAATCAGATAAGTTTCTTTCAGTGTTAATGGAGCAGAAAGATGACCTGCAAACTTGGCATTTCCTTGCACTGTTCCCATCATTCAGTGTTTTTGTAAATCAATGTTTGGCTAAACACCGATTTTGTTACAATTGCTATGTGCAAGGAGACTTGCTGTTCAGGCTCGATGAGCGAGGCTGCAGGTATAGAGTGATGATTAGCCAACCATTGTGAATGTTCGACTGTAACTTAAGTAGTCCTCCTCATGTAGAGCTTCTGAAATACGGAAGCAGCACTTCAAGACAAACACTAGCTAGCTTAACATTGCACACGGCTGCAGTGACCACATATGTGCCATCATTCAAAACTTTTCATGGCAAGTGATGTACAGCATCTAACTGAAGAATTTGTGAACACATCTTCCTGGTTTCACCAAAAGTCACAGCTGATGGTCACATGGCGTTTTGAACTACTGACCTGTAATGCCCGTCAGTAAGGTCAGTTCTGAGTATGAACGCAGTTCTTGCAGGCGATGCAGTGAACGATTAGCCTCCAGTAAATAGCCTCCAGTAAATACAGGCAGTGCTCTCTTTAACTACATGCTTCTTGTGAAAAAAACTGGCTGTGTTTCTCCGTTCCTGGCTGCAAATGTCATCGAAAGACAATAGTCTTCTGTCTGGAGGCACTGCGCGAGATAATGGATGCCATATGCCAGTAATGCCAGGAAACGACCTTGCGTAGAAAGCAGAGTCACTTGTGGGTAGCCGCACCGCATGATCTTGGCAAAAGTGTAGAAAACGCCTGCTTTTTTTTGCATAGCATCACGTCAGCGCAGCGTAAAAAAATACTAGTCTTTAGTATTACATGTCTATGCATTTTCTAGTAAAGAAACGCACCACCTATCCCTTACGTATTGATGTTGCACCTCAGATATGCGTTATATTTGCTTTTTGATCGACAATGTTCACAAGTATGAACGCAGCCACCAGATGAAGATGGCTGGGCATTGAGAAAGTGTTTAACTTTGGCCAAGTGGCTAAATCTAGTGACAGACGGACAGACAGACCAAAAATTCTGCATTCAGGTATCCTAAAGAAAGCTATCATCTTTAATATGGGATAGCTTAGCTAAATTTTGGCATTTTACGTGTCGAAGTCTTGATACAGTTGCTGTAATGGAATACTCTAGGTTAATGTTGGGATTCTTCAGTGCTCACCTAAACCCCAGAAAAGTGGCATTTTTGCACTTCACTTTCATCGCAACATCGCCGCCACGGCTGCTAATTGAGCATGACAATAATAACCATAAGGAGTTCTGAAAGCACTTTGTTTTAATTCTTCTCCAGTCTGTACAGTTCCTGTGAGCAGTGTCAAGTCGGCAAAACAGTGCGCAAAAAAGGCACCCATAAGCCCATTTCAATAGCATCGTCCCGAGTGATCACCAAGTGTGAAAAAGGATGTACTCAGGTAAATGCACAAACACGCAGCATTTGGCTCAGGGCTTCACCTACTTGCATGGCAATACTAAAATCGGCTCCCGCACATGGCCAACCTTTATAAGATAATCTGTGCCTTAGGAGCCAACTTGAGAATATCGTGTACCAGTTGTCACAAAGTGCACAGCTCAATACAAATCTGTTAGTGCAGCAAGGTACAACAATTAGTACTTTTTTTT